TGAGCCCCTCCACCTGAGCTCCTCCACCTGAGCCCCTCCACCTGAGCTCCTCCACCTGAGCTCCTCCACCTGAGCACAACAAATAATCTGAACTCTTCTGTTTTCATCCAACAGTAAAGATCAGAGTTTGGAGCCGAACCTCAAAGAAAAAAGCATCAAACTCATTTTATCAGTCGGTTCAGAGTGAGGGACGGTGGCGCTGCGTTCAACAAGGACGCCATAAAACAAGCAGATTATTGATCTGATATTTTTAATAAGACGTGCTGACATTCATCTGAAGAGTAGAAGAAGTGAAAATAAAAGGACCAACCTGAGGATCGAGGTCGTAAAAAACGCTGAACACGCCTTTTTTCTCCGGAGCTGGAGGGATGTGACCGAAGTAATCTGCGCCCTGGATCTTTGAGTCCCAGAACCGGTGCGGGAACCGAAGAGCAATCTGCAGGAAGTTTCACTCCGTTTTAATATTTACAATAAAAACACGTCAGACTCACCGAGTCACCACGAAGAAGGTTCCAAAACTTCTGATTCCAGCCGGTTTGAGTTTTCCTGCTGTTTAGGCGTTCTTCACGCGGTGAAGCTTGTTGAAGCATGAACGTGTGGAAACGGACAGAATAAAGACGTCTTTATCAACCTCTGCGTCCAGCGGTACCTTTTCTATGATCCCGGCTCCCAGGCTGTGGATCGCCTTCAGCTTCCTCTCGGGGAGCGGAGGGTCGAAGCGAACAACGTTCTTCTGAAGCAGCGTTAGCGGGACCGTAACGAGAACCTGAAGGAGGGAGGAGCGACACGTTGAGGGCAACACGAACCTTCTGAGAGACGGAGGTCTGAGCAGGTTTCACCTTCTGGGCCGTCCACTGGGAGCCATTAGAGGAGCTAACTTTAACGACGTCACCCGAGTAGTCCACCGCCTGAACCTGATTGTAAAAATAAAAAACTTCAGTTGAAACAGTTAAATCACAGAAAACCAACATTTTACCGCTGGATCTTAAAGAACTGAAACAGAATCTAAACGAGACCTTTCAGATGTTTAAATCCAAAACTTCTGAACTAAAACTGGTTTATTAGGTAATAAAACTTCAGTCTGGCAGAATAATTTAAAAACACCAACTCAAGTTCATAAACTGAGTGAACTCCTGTCGGTTCAGTTCTAAGAAAGATGCAGCGAAGCCGGTTTTCAGGGTCTGATGATGTCATCGATTGAAACGAATCGATGACATCATCAGACCACGTCCAGAGTTAAAGTCCTGGTGGACGCACCGGGCAGTCGGTGAGGATGTCCAGGCCCTTGGCCAGCCTGTGGAGCAGGACGGAGTAGCCCTTGGTGAGTAACGTGTGATCTCCTGAGAACTGGGCGAAGAACTCGTTGTGGTCCCAGGACCGAGCAGAAACCTGCAGGAACACAAGAACGTCAAAGTCCTGACGCTGCGACCGAGCGCCAGACTTCATTACAGGTCTGTCTTCAGCTTGAACCTGAGGACAGACAGGCAGGCAGACAGGCAGACAGACAGGCAAACAGAGACAGGCAGGCAGACAGACAGGCAGTCAGGCAGACAGACAGACAGGCAGTCAGTCAGAGACAGGCAGGCAGGCAGTCAGACAGACAGAGACAGTCAGACAGACACCAGCACCATTTGCAGGGTCCTGCATACTCCATCTGAAGTGGAGGAATCGTCTCTCTTTGACGTTGCTTGACAAAATTTGTTCTCAGATTAGCTCCGCCCCTTCTTGACACGAGGCCGGGGCTGAACTTTTTCTCTCAGGCGTCTGCGTCAGGTGTCGTGTGATTGGTCAGAAGTTGGTGGGCGTGTTCAGCTGAACGTCCAAGCTCATTTCCTCATTGATGAACAACTCTTCAAAACACTAAATTAGTCAAAGGGCCAAAAACTCCTGGATGGAGATCGTGCACACATCGTGCACACATTGTGCACGCATTGTGCACGGAGGAGTCTGTCTGCTGAAAAGTGCAGCACTTTCTTCATGACAGATTTGTGGCCAAACGGCGGCTGCAGGGACGGAGACTGACAGGAAGAAACCCGTGTGCAGGGGGCGGGGCTTCCCAGGAGCTCTGCGTCTCAGACTATGAAAGCGAAAACGTCCCGCAGTCATGTGACCGCGAGCCGACTGCTCGACTTCAGATGGGAGTGTGCGGGGTCCTGTAGATGTTCTGACCTGGTCCAACGAGCTTCCACAGGCGAACTCCAGATTACTGAGATGAAACTGAAGAACTTTCTCCTCCAGGTCGCTGAACTGGATCCCAGATTCCTGCAGGAAGTTCTTCTTTACTTCCTGGACCTTTTCTGTGGGAACAACAAAAACAGACACATCGTAGACGCTTAATCAAGTTTCTCTCGCTGGTTTTGTGAGTTTGGGCATTGAACCAGCACCTCCCAGCGGCGAGTCCTGGTTCTGAGACTTGTCCTTCCTCCACTCGGACACCACGTCCAGGATGGCGTTGAAGTGGAAGTCCATCCTCTTGTCGATGGCGGGGTCGGTGACCTGCCCGCCCTCCTGGAACAGGTCGCAGCGCTCGCCCAGCGTGTGCATCCTGATGCCCATCTGCAGCACAGGAGAACCGTGACCCGACCGTGACCCGACCGTGACCCGACGGACAAACCCCAAACATCAGAACCACACGTGACGTCTGTCGCGGACCTGTTCACACATCAGGGCGATGGGGTTGTTCACGCAGCCGTTCACGATCTGAGCGCCTCTGCCCACCGTGACGCCCAGAGAAGGATCGTCCCAAACCCGACCGCCGATTCTGTCCCGGGCCTCCAGCACCAGAACCTGTGGAGGATGAGGAGCTCAGAGTTCTGATGTGACAGCAGCGTCAGATATGAGTCCAGCCCGTTTACCTGACTGCCGAAGTTCTGCAGCTGCCGGGCAGCAGCCAGTCCGGCGGCACCAGCGCCGATGATGATCACGTTCTTCTGCATGAAAAATAAAACAAACTCCCGTGAGCCGGGTCAGAACAAGGACCCAAAAGAGTTTAAGACGGTGCCGAGGCGCTCACAGAGCAGTGCTTCTCAGGCAGCAGAGGCTGCTTCGCCATCAGAACCCCGGTGTTGATCAGGCCCTTCCTGGTCATGAAGTGCAGAACCCGGTCCAACTCCTGCACGCAGCGCACCCGCACCAAGCCCCGGACGATGACGTGGTGAGCACATTTGTCTGCCGTCAGAACCTCCTGCACCGACACACACAGAAACCCTGAATGTTGTTTATGAAGGGGATCCGGCCCAGTTCAAAAGTTCTGGTCCGGTCCAGTTCAAAAGTTCTGATCCGGTCCAGTTCAAAAGTTCTGATCTGGTCCAGTTCAAAAGTTCTGGTCCAGTTCAAAAGTTCTGATCCAGTCCAGTTCAAAAGTTCTGATCCAGTCCAGTTCAAAAGTTCTGATCCAGTCCAGTCTATTTCATTAGTTCTGGTCCAGTCCAGATGTTTTCATAGTTTTATGTTTTAAACTCCTACATGTGTCCAGTTCACCACTTCTCTCCAAACAGGTCTCACTTGGAAATGAGTCTTTGAGGCTCGATGTGATTTATCTCTTTAAATAAAGGTTGAATGAACGAATGAATGAACGAATGAACGAACGAATGAACGAACGAACGAATGAATGAACGAATGAACGAATGAATGAACGAATGAACGAATGAACGAATGAATGAACGAACGAACGAATGAACGAACGAATGAACGAACGAATGAACGAA